TACATTGGTGGCCCATGAGCAACAAGTTACAGCACTTAGATGCAACCACAAGAGGGTATTACATAGACAGAAAGTTTACCTCAAAGGGTGAGGTGACAACAGGAAGAGGGCTTCTGCCCTCCAGGTGTTTTGGACTCCCATAATTCCTAACAGCCTACTGACTGTTTGCCCATGCCTGGGCTAAATTGTCTGCAGGGAGACACACCGGCAAAGAATGACCAGAGTATTGTCATGGAGACTTTCTAAGGGAGGCCTTCACAGAGGATCAGACAAAGATGAAAGCAAGCTGAAGAAAAGAGAAAGGAGGCAATGGCAGCCTCTTTTACACGGTTTCCATGTTCCTATTCAGAATTGTTTCCTCTGAATCTGGTAATAGCATATGGCAAAACTTTTAAAGACATGAGTGTCCGTATTGACTCAAAATGAGTGTGTGTATGTAGGTGTATATGTGTGTATGTTTTTGTTTATTCATTCAGTCGCTTCTGACTCTTTGTGATCTCATGGACCAACCCACGCCAGAGCTCCCTGTCGGCCGTCTCCACCCCCAGCTCCTTCAAAGTCAAGCCAGTTATTTCAAAGATAACATCTATCAATCTTGCCCTTGGTCAGCCCCTCTTCCCTTTTCCTTCCATTTTCCCCAGCATCATTGGGTGTGAAAGGACACCCAAGATGGGAAGGTCATGGCAGAGAGGTCAGAATAAATACAATCCCTGAGGAAGGTACTGGCAACCCACCCCAGTATTCTTGCCATGAAAACTAAATGTGTCTGTGTGTATGTATGTATGTATATTTGCCAGAGTCTATGGCAAAAGACTCCTATTTGCTTTTTCCAGGTATTTCAAAGCAGTATTGGGGTGGACAGTACATGGGTAAGTTGGGAGAGGGTTGCCCCCTTTCTGCACCCAGTTGCCCACCTCATCTTTCATTATATAACTCCAAAATATTAATTACTTTTGTTTCATTTTTTGTGGGTATGGTCTCACTAAAGTCTTGTGCTATGGGAAGAAAAATATCCAGATTTTTTAAAAGCAATAACCAAAGGAAACTATTTCAATTGCTTTTCCAGACACTGTAATAAATTATTTTTCAAAATGTCTAATTAATTTGGGTTGGCCACTTGAACTATAAGTAGAACTATTTACTATTAAAGGCTACTATCCTGGCTTTGCCCATATTCTGGGAATAAACTCACCATCTAAAACCTTTCCCTGCCTATTTTAAATCTGGATATATTTTTTTCAAAGCTTACAAGTTAATTAACATGACATCTAACGTGAATTGGCTTTTGTACTCATTCTTTTTGTCTCCAACTCACAGGAATTCAAATATATTAATATTTCATTGTCTGCTAGGAAATACATATATTTTAAAAGGCAAGCTCTAAGTGAGTCAGAAACCAAGGAGATAAAATTGTTGCTGTAAAGTACAGGAAACATTCTTGTTGCTAGATCAGATGAATATAGCTTTATGCAAGCCTTTTATGGCTCTCAGCAGCAAATTGCTTTATTTTACATATCACAGTCTGTTTTCAGCAAAGTAATTTTCTCTCTCCCCCTTCCCTCCTTCCCCTTTCCATATAATTGTGGGGAGAAGACTTTGCTTTTGTTTTTAGTAACTAAACACTTACTTGCTCACAATGAGAAAAGAATAGGGAAAAAAACCCAAGACAGAGGCTGTATACAACATATGAACTACTTCAAAATGCAACATAATGCACACTCACTCATTGTAACACACACACACATACACACACTTTTTACATACTGTGGAATATCAAAACGAAGTTTGTCAATCTAAAATTGTAGACACATCACATTGGAAGACTATATGTTATAGTCAACCAAATCATATTACGAGATATCCTATAAACAAAAAATATACTACAAGTTTACTCAGACAGTTATTTTTAATGTGATGTAATATTTTGTTTATATATGCATGCCTGATCTGTAACCATACCTATGTTCCCAGTTAAATATCAGTTTGAACACAACCTTAGAAGTCTTCTTTTCAGTCCATTTCTTGACCAAAATTGAGGCTTTATCAATGAAGCCAACTGTAATGAATCCCTTACCTTGGCAAGCTAGCTTAGGCCTGGGAGAGTGGGCCTGGTGAAGCCCCGGCATCTATTTTAGAGAAGGGAGACAGGGAGACACCATCTTAGGTTAGGTTTGCCTTAAGGGGGCGTGTTCTAGTCTTGGAGGGAAAGTTAGACCACTAGGATTGGTTAGAACAATGGGGGCGGAGCATAAGTGATCTGAAGGAAAAAAAAGTGACTTTTAAACTGAGGCTTGAGTTTCCCAGTTTGCCAGTTGGGAGTTCGAGCTTAGAAAAGGGTAGAGCGAAGACGTTGGGTGTTAATGAGAGCAGTTTGGGGTTTTGAAGAAGAACTTTGGGTCAGTCTTTTGTTTAGTATTCAGGATAGCTATAGAGAAATATAGCTAGAATACTGTGGGGAGCAGCACCCCGTTAGTGGTCTGTTCTTTTCCTTAAGGAAGGCTAGTTCAGGTTTTGGCTAGATTCCTAAGGGGTATTTTTGTGGGAGTTACTTTCAGAGATTCATTTCCTGAAGTAATTTTCTGTGTTGAAACGTTAAGACTTGTAACCCAGAAGTTTTTAAGATCTCTTCTCAAACGTAACCACAAGCTTCTTATGCCAGATTTTTACAGAAACCATCAAGCATTTCTACCTGAAATATCCAAGTCTGTTCAATAAAAGTTCTTGGTATTTTTACCAACTTATACCAGCCTCAGTGTGAATACCTTTGTGGTAAAAGTGTTATTCATGTCAGCTTTTTACCAGCCTCTAAGAAAACTAGAGTAACATAGAGTGTGTTACTGAACAACCTCTCAATAGTACCTCAGCCTGTTCAGTAGTAATATGGTGGCAGCGGAAACCTTTTAAAGAATTCTTTTAAGCCTCACAGTTCCAGTGGTTCCCAGTTCCTAGCTTGTAAATATACAGTTGGTTCAAAAACTATTCTCCCTCTATATTTTTGGTGAGCTAATCTGTAGTGGTGTCATTGTTATAATTTGGTAGGCTACTGTGTGATAGTTATACCAACATTCTTTTAAAGGCCATTCATTTGAAACTCAATGCAAACTTTCATAAAAGCAATAGTTCTGAGCAGCCTTGGATATATCCATTACCATAAACTTTGAGGACTAGTCAGTAAATATATTTGGCACAGACACTGCCTTGCACGTTACAGAGTTCATTATATTTTCAGTATCCAAGCAAGTCATAATAGCATTCCAGATATATGTTTTAATACATAGGAAACTGTTTTGCAAGGGTATAAACTATCCATACCTACAGTTCAGTATGGCATATATGGACTAAGTACTACATACTCTAGGGACCTTAGGTAAATGTTTCCCACATTATTAATTTCATGAATAACCATTCTTGAAAGGGCAGAATTCAGTTTCCAAAACACATTGCAAATGGCTACATGTCAATGGTGGGTGTCTTCAAAATTGCTAGCATATTTTAACTTAACATTCAGACATCCTGTTGCCATTAACTAAGATGAATTGTGGCAAGCGAACTTGGAAAGTTGGAAGTTACAAAATGATGGTACCATGAGAAAGCCTAGAGCGGTCTACCCCCTTGTTTAAGGAGCTCCATTGGTTGCTGCTCATCTTCCAGTCCAAATTCAAGGTGCAGGTTATCAAAGCGCTGAACAGTTTGGGACCCGCCTACCTTCATGACTGCATTTTCTACCAGAAACCTGCATGATCTCTTTGATCGACTGGGGAGGCCCTCCTTTCACTCTAACCTTCATCACAAGCACGACTTGTGGGGACAAGGGAGAGAGCCTTCTCCGCTGTGGCCCCTCGGCTTTGGAACTCACTACCTAGTGAGATTAGGCAAGCCTCTACCCTGGCAGCTTTTAAAAATTTGGCTCTTCCGATGTGCCTTTGGTGAGTGAACATATATTCCATATTTTGTCTGTTTCAACTACAGTTTCTGCCCTCATGATGCACTTTTTCCCCCACCCTTAATGAAAGTCTAACTCCACTATTCGTTCCTTTTGAGCTCCTCCCTCAGAAACACATTCTCCCACTACTTATCTCATCCAGGGTTTTATCAATTTTATCCTAGTGCATTTGGCTCACCTACTGTGTTCTATTTCTCTAACATGTTATTTTGTAAATGTTTATTTAATATTGTTATTTCATGTATTTATTTTGATGGTATTTTTCTTCTTGTATTTTATTTTGCTGTCCTGTAATTTTGGGCTTGGCCTCATGTTAAGTGCCCCGAGTCCCCTTCAGGAAGATGGTGGCAGGGTACAAATAAAGATGATGATGATGATGATGATGATGATGATGATGATTATTATTATTATTATTATTGACCCTTAAATTGGGACTTCAGCTTTGTTCCCAAGGTGTAAGGCTCTTCCATCCATGTTTTAACTAGATGAAGCTTAGATATAAACTGGATGAAAGCACTTGCATTTCCAGTGAGGTATGATTAACTCACAGTAACTATAGAGAAGCTTTTCCCTCATAAGAAATAACTAATTTAGTCTGAGTTTATCCCCCATAAACCAGAGAGAGGTTTAATTGGATTGTTTAACTGGTGATATACCCTGGAGAATTGGGGAGTTGTTGCTGTGATGTCAGACAACATGACATTTGTACATCTTAGGAGAATTGTTGCATTTTATTTCTAAGGACACACCTCAAAATGGCCCAGCAAGACATTTCCATAGATGATAATACTTGTGGCAGCATTAGTAAAAACCAATGGTGTTACAGGACCAATAATATGATAGTTTTAAACAGAGATTATCTTTAAAAAGCTTTCAGATCTTGAAAGAAAGAAATGCCACCTGTTTATTTATACATCTTCTTTGGTGAAAAGGTCAGTAGAAAATTCACCTCTAAGGTCACTGTTGCTAAGCAACCACTTTCAGAAGTTCTGCAACACTGATCAAGCATATTACGTTCCACTGACTGGCTTCAGAATAAATATGAGTAACATCTTACCTGTTCTTCCATATGAAGAGAGGAGACACTTCTTCTTCTCCGATGGAGACAGCCAAGTATCCAACACCAGCACACTGGATATTTTCTCTCCAAAGGGAAAAAAGGATACGTCCCGGGACAACCGGCTTCCTATTCACCAGAGCAAAAGATAGCTCCGTCTTCAGAAACACCACAGAAGGCTTGATGAGGTGCTGCCCAAAACGGAGCGACATATTCAACATGAAGAAACTGTTAAGGAGAATAAAGGAAATCATCACATCAACTTTATGGGCTAATTTTCAGAGACACTGTTGTTCTAAAACAGGGGCCCAAAAAGTAACTGAGGTCTGGGATGACTGCACATTACTCTGCTCAGCTCAATAGAACAAGGGGAACACCCCACAACTGGCCCCACTGCTGCCACTCAATCCTTTCCAGTGACACAGTGGGTTAAACCCTTGTGCCAGCAGGACTGAACCCATCATTGAATCCCATAAAATAATGCCCATGCACACTGCAATATTTATTTTCTATTCAGATGGCAAAAGTGGGGAGGAAAGGAAGATGTATCTAAAAATGCCCATTTCGATTTGTCAAAATAATATTAAACCTTGGCCTAGCTTTGAAAATGACTATGGATGGGACATAGTAGCTAAGCAGAAGAGGGTCACTACTTAGTGTTCTTAGAGTCAAGTATTAAATAGTATACAAATGTCAAACATCACATTCATTCTGTAGCTGTACATTTATGGAAACCATCATGTGATTGCCCAACCTGCAGTGTCATACAAGTCTGTCAGTTGTGAAAACTATAGCACAGCAACAGGTACAAAGACATGTAACAGCAGGCCTTTTTGTTTTGAGCCCCTGCCCAGGGATGCAAACTTCCACTCATTTGTTTGCATGCAAGATAATTTCAAAAGTTTACTCTAAACAAATAGAATTATTGTTTACCCAATCTGGAACTTTTTTTTGAAATATTTATTTTTAGCCAATAAAAATGTGCCTATAGAGAAAATGTTGGATTTTGTGCAGAATAAAGATTTTTGAGGGGGGGGGGGAAACCCTCTCTGCTGAAACCTGGTAGGTGAATTGGTTCTTTCTTTTTTGATTAAATTGTTTTTTTCTTCACCCAGAAAAAATACCCAAAAGTGAAAAATCTGAAGGGGTGATTGTTTTTCCGAATGGGGTATCTCATTGCCCAAGGTGAGAACATTTAGAGATATTTTTACATCCCTGGGGCAGTGACAAGAGATGTGGATCCAGGCAAGCTGAGCTTTCCATTCTAGCCCACTGAAGCAAGGATCAAAACAGTTACAAGCAGATCAATTCAATATTGATTGTATATTGTTGGGGCTCCAGACAATCTAAGCAGGTGAGCCATAAAATAGCAAATTGTTTGGTTATTCAGTGAGAAAAGTTGTTCAAACTGAGAAGCTGACTTGGGTTTCATTCATCCCAATCAGCTGGTGATATTAGATAACTATTCTCAAAATGCAGATTTAATTGATGATATTCAGTCTAGAACATCAGCCTAGAGGGAACACTTGATTAGCAAAATTTAGCCTGCCTCATTTACCAAACAATCAGAGCACTTATGACACAGGAGGGAAGACACTGGGGACTGGCTTTGACTTCACACACACAAACACACACACACTACTTTATATGTTAATTGTATCAGATCTAGTCTTTATTGAAGGTGAGATAGAAAAAGCAAGGTAAGACAAGGACAAATTAAGAAGAACACAGTCTCCTGTTATTTAGACCAGAGAACAAGTCAGTTGCAGAAACCTTTACAGTATATTGGATCTGCTGAAATCTATTAGTTTAGAGGGATGTCCTTCTATAGGAGTTATTCTACATTCACTGGAGGGTTGAGTCCTGCAAAACAAGGTAGCAATGTATGTTTCCCAGGATAATGCTTCACAAGAAGTAGCACTTTTGCAGCTGAAGCATCAAAAGAGACCAGAGTGATCTGGATTTACAAACCTCAGGTAGTGATGAGAGGCAGAAGGGCATAAAAAGGACAGTAAATCTGTATGTTTGGAAATAATACCATGGAATCAGTGAATTAGATGAGCATGGGTCAAGTTAGATGTGATGGAGGCAGCCACATGTACTCCTCATAGTTATGTCTGCTCCATTATATTTTTATGCCAACCAACCACCCAAATTCTGCTAAAAATAGTGAGCTTACAACCTAGTGAATTTACTGTGCCATGTATTTTTTGAGGAAAGATCCCTTATAACAGCGGTTCTCAACCTAGGGGTTGCAACCCCCGGAGGGGTTGATTGGACGTTTTCGAGGCGTCGTGATGCCACCTCCTTTGGCCCTGTCCCCTCCACGTCCCTGCAATGGCTGCCGGGACCCCGGGGGCAATGCAGGAGGGCCCAAGCCAGTGAGGAGGCGAATCTGGTGGTGAGGAGGAGGAGGAGGAAGAGGAGGCCACGCCCTTGCAGCAAAGGCTGTACCTCCATTTGGAGGCATTACTGGAAGAGAGTGGTTTCTGCTGCTTCACTGCCCCACGCTCCTCTCGCTGCCCTTTGAGGAGGAGGAAGACCCTAGAGGGGAAGAAGGCTTCTGGTGGCAGCCTAGAAGAGCAGCAAAAAGAGTGCGGGGCAGCAGCAGCAGCAGCGAGGTCTGCCTTCGTCCATCTCCTCTGGGCTCTTCTTCCTCCTCCTCTCCATTTGGGCACTCCAAACAGAGAGGAGGAAGAGGAAGACCCTGGAGGGGAAGAAGGAAGGCAGGCCTTGGTTCCCTGCACCATTCTCTTCCCGCCTGCCATCCTCCTTCTCCTCTGGGCTCTTCTTCCTCCTCCTCTCTGTTCTCTTCCAGTGTAGCTTCCAAATGGGGAGGACAAGTTCAGGAGAAATTTTCAAGATGCTCTTTGATAGCAGATGAACTATAACTTCAATCTTATTTTCCCTACTTTCCCCAAACCTCTCCAGTATTTTCTGTTGGTCATGGGAGTTCTGTATGCCAAGTTTGGTCTAATTCCATTGTTGTTGGTGTCCAGAATGCTCTTTGATGATAGGTGAACTATAACTCCAAGCAACTGCAACTCCCAAATGTCAAGGTCTATTTTTCCCCAAACTCCACTAGTGTTCAAATTTGGGCATCTTGAGTATTCCTGCCAAGTTTGGTCCAGATCCATAGTTGTTTGAGTTCACAGATGTAGGTGAAGTACATCTCTCCTAAATCACTGTCAATTCCTGCCAAACCCCTCCTGTATTTTCTGTTGGTCATGGGGGTTTTCTGTTCCAAGTTTGGTCCAGGTCTATAATTCATGGGGGTCTCAGTGGTATGTGGAAGTCAGAGCTGCATCAGTTGAAGGTATTGCAAATCCCATCATCCATTGTCCATACTCCCCCAAGCATATTGTTTTTGTGATGAATCACTATGCTTTAAGTATGTTCAATGTATAACAATAAAAATACATCCTGCATAACAGATATTTACATTACAATTCATAAGTAGCAACAAAAGTAATTTTATGTTTGGGGGTCACCACAACATGAGAAACTGTATTTAGGGGTCACGGCATTAGAAAGGTTGAGGACCACTGCCCTATAAACATATCAATCTGAAAGGCTTCCTACACACAAAAGGCACCTGAAATCATTAGGTACCAGTCTTACTTGCCAGCACAGCCCGAATGTGGAACGGAGCCCCTTCAAGTCAACTCCAACCTACGGCAACTCTATTTTTTAAAAGTACAATAGGCTCTTCACATTTGTTGAAATTAAGGGTGCAGGACCCTCACAAAAGTGAAAATCTGCAAATTAAAAATGCAACTTTTTTTACTTTGAGATAACAACAACAACAACAACTTTATTTTTATACCCTGCCACCATCTCCCCAAAGGGACTCGAGGTGGCTTCCAAGGGGACAAGCCTGAAAATACAAAGTAAAACCTATGCAATAAAATAAAATGAAGAAAAAGTTAAAATCAACAACAACATCAGAAAAACAGTTACAATCAGAAGTACACATTTTAAAAACAGCATAATGTCTAAAAGATTAGGTGCTGAATGTGGAAAGATCAGGAAATGTGCAGATAATAATTCTTTAGGCATATCTAGGTTTGCTGGAAGTTTACCGCAGAGTTGCATCGGGAGATTCTTGGAGAGACCCTATTGATCAAACCCAGAAATAATCAAATTTACAAATTCTCAGAAGAAGAAGATAATACAATACAAAGCCATAGGAAACCATATAGTTCAGAAGTAAGCTTAGCTCTCCACCCATTGCTTCTTAATAGCATACAGGCTGGATCCGATTAGCAATAATTTCAAAATGGGAATTAAGGAAAGCTTCAATAGCTATCAAGAAACCACTTACTGGCATTGAAAAACAGAAGGAGGAGGGGTGCGGGAAGCCAACACCTCCAAAATAGAATTATTAAAAGAAAGCATGTCAGGCACAGAGAGCACATTGGCAGAAGCGAAGATGATGCTTCCTGCCACACTCAGAAACAATAAACACTTCAAGCAGAAGGTTGATGACCTTGGAAATAAAAGGCAGATCCTATGCTTCAATAACCTAAGCTCCTGGGAAAGTAAAAAAGTGCTGATCTGGTACTTTTTATTCTAACTCTCCTGTTGAATTACCAGGGACTATAGTGCCACTGAGCCCCCAATGTGTTTAACAGTAGCTCAGAGATTCACTGAGGGAAGAAGTAATCAAATCCCACTCAGAAATATAGGGTAATACTATGCTGTGGAATTTCAGTTTTAGAAAGCAACTGAAGTTGAGAGGCAAGGTTAACCTTCTGCTTAAGGGTTTCAGAAACCATTCCTGTATGTCTCTTCTTTCTATATGCTGGCATCCCTAAATTAGTGGAAGTTTCCTCAAGTTAAAACTCCACATGAGTTTGTATGTATATGTATACACACATATACACACATGCATAGATTTTTAATGGCTTACAATTAGACAATTCCTAGGTAAGTGTAGCTGTATGCATAATTCATATATAGTGGGCCTGGATATTCACCTAATTTTTGTTGCCCCCCCCCCCCCCCCGGTGGATATCTAAATCTTAGGCTTAGTTGATCTGGTTCGGAAGCTTCTAAAATCGGAATGAATTTGTATTGAAATGATTTTAGAAACAATTTCGAGCCATGCTGGAATAGTATGAGGAGTAATTACGAATTGAAACAATTTATCAATTTTTCAGAATTATTTTTGGATGTCTGGTCAAGGTTTACAATCTCGCAGTTTCCCTGCCCCCCCTGGCGACAAG